AGCAGGAATATTTCCATTTGCTGCAGTGGGCTCTGAATGTGACCCACATAAACCAAGACAGGAGAGTGTCTCTTAAAGGAGATACAATAACCAAACTGGAAGACATCTTCCTTAAGCAGAGAAGTTCAGCAAGGTTTTGGAGTCAGTGTTATGCCAGGGATCTTGGTGCATTTGTCTGACTTGGGGTTTTTGTGCTGCCTCTCCTTTGTTGGCTGACCAGACCATGTTGTAGCGAGGAAACCTAGAAGAATTCATGGCACCTCTAGCCAGACAAGTGGCCATCTCCCCTCCTCTTAAAATTGGTGACTCAAGGGCAGAACTACATGAGAAAGCTTCAGGGGGACGTGGAGACATAAAGACCTATCACATTAGCTATCATCCCATTACAGCCTGTATACACTCACTTACCACTAAGAGCAAGCACCCAGCAAGTTCTGCTAGCTGACTTGTGCAACTACAAAAAACCCAAAGTGTCAGTCAGGATGTCTTGTTGGGGAAAGTCACGCATGTTTAACCTCACTGGCTTTTGACTGCTTCACTGTGTGCCTTTAGCATACTCTTAATGGGGATTTTCTGGAATCACAGTGCGCTGTAAATGCGGCAGCTTTATCATTCATGTCTGTGCAGAACTGAAGATGAAATGATGCCTGATTTTGATGCAGGGAAACAGATTTATTTTTACATGTTCCATCATTTGCTTCCCCTGGTTCATGATGAATGCTCGAATGGCTCTAAGCTTGGTATTCCCGTCTCTAAATTACATTATAAATTTGTGTTTATAGGTTTGCAGATGCCTTCTCCAGAGTACATAGTTGATGTAGAGTCTATGGACATTTTCCCTGTTGGCTGGTGTGAAGCGAATGCTTATAACCTAACTCCACCACACAAAGCTGTTTGTAAGTACATAGAAGCCTCAAGCAGCATCGATATTACATCAACAGATTTATCTGGGAGTTTGTCTTATGTCTGTAATCCAATTTGTTGAAACTACCAACTTAACTAGCAGGCTGGTAACCAGGCTGTAAGTGAACTGTAATAAATAGTAATAAATCTAATTAGTGGCCAGACTCTGCAGCACTGGTATTGCGCAATTTGTGCTTGTCTGTGTGATCAGTCCCTATAAAAATGGGATTATTTGTGCTGGGGAAGGCCATTCCCTGGTTTGGAATTGCACAGTGCAGGTTGTGGGTTTGCAATGGGGTTGGTGGAAACCAGGTTTTTTGTTTTGGTTTTGTTTCCCCACCCTGCCAAGTTCACTTGAGCAGCTGAGTGAATTAGAGGCACAGGAGGGGGGTTGGACTAGAGGATCTTTCGAGGTCCCTGCACCCTCAATAAGTTTGCCGACAACACCAAGCTGTGTGGTGCCGTGGGCTCACTTGAGGGAAGAGATGCCATCCAGAGGGACCTTGACAGGCTTGAGAAATGGGCCAGTGCAAACTGCAGGAGCTTCAACAAGTCAAAATACAAGGTCCTGCACCTGAGCCGGGCTAATCCCAGGCAGAAATACAAACTGGGCACAGAGTGGGTTGAGAGTAGCCCTGAAGAGAAGGATTTGAGGGTGTTGATAGGTGAGAAGCTCAACGTGAGCCGGCAGGGTGCTCATGCAGCCCAGAA